CTTTATTTTAAAAATATATTTAATTTTTTTTTTCTTAGGAATCTGAAAACCAAAATATTAGAACAAAAACAGAAACATGGCTCACCATATTACATGTCTTTGGATAATTTTGGTTCTGCTTCTTCGGAATTCTGTATTCGCTGAAGATGGAGAAATAAGATCAAGTAAGAACAACCAGCATTGCCCCTTTTTGTTATCAACAAGTTGTAGAAATCAAATAAGAGGAGCTTAAGCAATGGTTTTAAGGATCTTATTCCTAGTGTCTTTGATGCTGTAATTTGCTAAAATGCATAAATTGCTATGTTCCACATTAACTGAGAGGAAAAACTTCTAACAGAGGTAATTCTGAGAAAATTCTATGGTAATTGTTTATTCTGTTAACCCATCAGACTTTGGAATGAAAAGTCTGGTGTTGAGTTCAGCCATTCATGAGCTTCTTGATATGAAGATAAAAAAAAATACCTTCATATTAGGATGGATATCAGGACCATCCTATGAGGTTATCTCATAGACATAATGAGGTAATCCATGTAAGTGAGATAATGCATGTAAATGGCTTAGCACAGTGACATCTCAGTGAATGGTGACTATTATTCTGATGGCCTATAGGAAAGCTTTCATTAGAGAAGGAAGGCTCTATTAATGTAGTTCTGCTACCCAGGCCACCAGTGCAGATACCACACTTCTTTTTAAGAGTTTGCTTATTTTCATATCTTAAAACTTCTAAACATAAAGGCTCTACTGTAAATTAATTCTGGTTTCTCTAACAGTTAAATCAGGTGGTTTGACAACTTCACTTACCTTGGCTTAAAATTTATTAAAATAACTAGAGGCCTGGTGCACGAAATTGGTGCACGGTTATGGTCCCTAGGCCTCGCTGGCGATCAGGGCTGATCTGGGCCTTCCAGCTGCTGGCTGGGGCCTCGCTTCTGGCTGCCGGCTGCTGGCCGCCCGCTGGGTCCTTCCTTCTTTCCACACCGCCCCCTGATGGTCAGTCACGTCATAGTGAGCGATCGAACTCCCGGCATCCTGGTCGAACTCCCGAAGGAACAATTTGCATATTAGGCATATATATATATATATATATATATATATATATATAT